GCTCTTTATTGTTTTCCCATTGACAAATGCCAGATTGACTTATGGTCTTTTAGAATCTGGTCTATGGCACTAAAAACTATTAAGCAATTAACTGGTGCTCCTAAATAGCACAGACAGATAATTTAAATAATTCAGGTGATTTGGAGACCTGAAGCTATCCAATCTAGTGCTGGTTGTCTCCAATTCATCTAATATATGTTTGGGTCTCTATTTCACTTTGTCAGAAGGAATATTTATTGTTGTAATGAATTATTTCCTCAAATTGCATTTATAAAATCATTTTTGTTATAAGACAACTGGAATAAAAATAAGTTATAAGACAACTGGAATAATAAAATTATTCTCCAGCATAATTTTCTGTTTATAATGAATAAGTAAGCAGGAAAAATCTTATTTTTTAAAAAAAATTTGTTTATTTGACAGACAGAGATCACAAGTATGCAGAGAGGCAGGCGGGGGGGAGGAGAGTAGGCTCTCTGCTGAGAATAGAGCCCAATGTGGGGCTCAATCCCAGGACCCTGGGATCATGACCTGAGCTAAAGGCACAGACTTTAACCCACTGAGCCACCCAGGCACCCAGGAAAAAATTACAGAATAAAAAAGTTGTTAAGGGGACACCTGGGTGGCTCAGTGGGTTAAGCCTCTGCCTTTGGCCCACGTCATGATCCCAGGGTCCTGGGAAAAATCTTATTATATGATTATCAAAATTTTTTAGAAATATGGGTTGAACAACAGGAACTGCCAGTTCTCAGTTAGGCCAGAAGCACCATGACCACAATAACACTCTTGGCATGAGCTTAGTCTCCAATCATTAAGGATTATACAAAAATGGAAACTTTCTATTATTTCAAGAAAATATCTTCATCAGTTGAATAATGTTATAAAATACAGTTAATAATGAGCAACTATTGAAGCAAGATTTAATTATCTTATTTTATAAGTAAGAAAAATAAAATATCGAGTTTAAGAAACAGATCGCAAAAGCAAAGTGAACTTTGAAGTATCTAGAATCTAATACAACTGTCAATTCAATTCATTTATGACTGGAGTGAATGGTTTCCCACTCTACTGTCAAATCACAGTACATGTAGAAATATATGAATCATTGAACACTACATCAAAAACTAATGGTGTACTATATGTGGGCTAATTAAATTTAAATTAAAAAAGAAATACTGGGATGGAAAGACTATGGCTTACTTCAGTGAAATTTCTGTCAATGAGGGTCTCTATTCTATGGATATTTAAAGATGAATGTTGTTACATTTGAGTGTTTAATTATTACCTTCCACATTTTGATAAGCACTATAGAGTTTGGAGAGCAAGTCTATAACCTCAAAAGCTGAGTACTTCTGTTAAACATAGCAAAGATTTTGAGTATGGATTTTCAAAAAAATTTTCTTTTCCAATGCAATCTGTAACTGAATTCTTGCAAATACTTTTAGATTTCAGAATTCAATCCAGGACACCTATTGAATTTGTACTGGAGGTCTCTTCCTTAATCTTGGCTGCCATATTCAGTTGTCTATGCTCCTCAGAGGAACTAGATGGCTTTTATCTGAATTACAGGCAGGAGATAAAAGCAGTGACTTTAGATACAAGGATTTTGGGGGAATAAATGTAACTGCCTGGGGATAAACAAACTCAGGATATTTCAACACACACAGTGTTTTGACAATGGTTCAAATTGTCATGGCACATTGATTAGGAAACATTGCCAAGATCATATAATCTTTCAATAAATTCATGGCAGAACAGGCTTGTCAAATTCTGATTAGTAAGGATAGGTAAATTGCTTCAGGGCTTTTTTCTTTCTTTCTTTTTAAGGAATGGATGCTAATTATCATTTAATATCTCTTCCTCAGATTTTATAGTTTTATAGCCAAGGATAATGAACAGCAACAATTAGCCCATCAATGGGGCTCACATGTTCAAAACACTTAGAAGCCACTACATACATCCTGGGGTTTCAGGACATGTGGTGTCACTGGTATTGCTATTACTAGACTACATAATAATACAAGGATTTATTTCTTGTGATCTGTCTAATAGTTTATCTTGAATATTTAGCAGTCTGTTCACCTTCCAGGATAGATTGCTATTAATGACATCAATTAGTGTTGTAACTGATTTTCTTTGGTTTACAACAAAAGTTGACCCCATGATGCCTAGTATCCTATTTCCCTGGTGTACTTTTTTGACAGGACAGCTAACATTCCAACAATATTGATAAGACTCAAAATGGAAGGAGGGAAAATAATTTCAAAACAATCTGAGGGTTTTGAAGGGGTGGGGGGTGGGAGGTTGGGGGAACTAGGTGGTGGGTATTGGAGAGGGCACGGATTGCATGGATCACTGGGTGTGGTGCAAAAACAATGAATACTGTTACACTGAAAATAAATTTAAAAAATTTAAAAAAAACAGGTGTTTGTTAAAGGTGCTCTCTTGTCTGCATTTTCTTGAATTCCCACCTTCAACCATTTGAATATTGATTTTTGTTGCAAATAAGCTACCTTTCTTTTATAGAGCTTCTACACACTATCCACCAAAGAAAACACATTTAAAGATAGAAATGAGGGGGCACCAGGGTGGCTCAGTCGGTTAAATGTCTGACTTGGCTCAGGTCATGATCTCAGGGTCCTGGGATTGAGCCCTGCATCAGACTCCACACTCAGCAGTGAGTCTGCTTGTCCCTCTCACTCTCCCTCTGCTCTGCCCCCTGCTCATGCTCTCTCTCTCAAATATATAAAAATCTTTAAAAAAAAGACAAATGAAGCTAAGATGCACTTTATATTACTGAAGCAATTTCAGTTTGAAATTGTGGTTACATCAAACAAAATATTTAGTTGGTGCAGTCTTTACACTGATGCTTAGAAAACATACCTTTTTCTTTTCTTCCTTACATGGTGCTACACAACTGTGATCATTTTTATTAGCCATTATTTAAAATATAACTACTAAATTATTTCCCAATATTCCAGGCATGTCTGAATCTTAAACGCTCTTTTGACTTTTATGATTCATCAGAAGTAAATTTAAAGCTCTACTGCAGTTCATTTATGCAATTAATTATTTTGATGAACTTTTCCCTCAAAACATGTGACCATTTTGGAACATGTTTTAAGGCTCTTTTATTGCTATTATAGTAGTTATAGTGCTACATACATCCAAGCTGAGATAGTATCATAATAACAGGCTGAAAAAATGTCTTAGAAAATAGTCTACCTGATTGACAATTCAGTTAAACTTTCTTGATATAGTTGAGAAAAGTACCTAGCCTGGGACAAGCTACTCAAAGCAAATGCAGGAACTAAAGTCATCCAAATACCCTCACTATCATTGTCTAAAGTAAAACTGACTAACACATAAGTAAAAAAAGATATTGTAAAGATCAAATGAAATAATATTTTGGTGGAAATAAAGCTAAAATTGATGTTAGTTTGTCTTCCTCTTAATTTTGTTTATCCTATACACTTCTAGAAAGACTGTTCCTCTTATTTTCTTGGGTTCTAAGGTATTGGGGGTATGTGTGGAGAAGGAGACAAAAGAGTATGCATTTTGTTTTATTTATTTTTAAAGATTTTATGTATTTATTTAAGAGAGAGAGAGAGAAAGAGAGAGAGAGTGCAAGCAGGGAGAGCAGCAGAATGAGAGGGAGAACCTGGGATCATGATCTGAGCCAAAGACAGATACTTAACCAACTGAGCCACCCAGGTGCCCCAAGAGTGTGCATTTAAAAAACAAGTTATTTTCTGTAATGTCACATATAGGTTAGTACAAAATTGTCTCATGGAGATGTGACAAACTTAAGAAAAACTATAGATCAATGTTAGTTTTGAGCTGGCTAACCACTTTAGATGTATAACCACATTTTATTCTTACACAAACATTCTGAGATAAACATCATTACTATATCCATTGTGCCCAGATGAACACTGAGGCTTGATGATTATGTAATTTACACAGGTCACACAACCAAGAATTTGTACCCCATTATCTCCAGTTTCACAACAAACCTTCATAACTACCTCCCAAAATGGGTTCATTTGGTAAGAAAAATAAGGTTGTAATTCTACTAAAATTAATAGCTCTGACAAAGTATAATTCCTCAAAGATTGATTTGCAGACCAAAACTGAGGTTATTTTATGCCTGAGAAGAGAAGATTTATGCCCTTGAATTGATAAATGTCTTTAGATATGTGTTAGTATGCTACAAAGAAAAGAGAGAATTACTTTGGGTGTTTGCTTCAGTTAGGTTCTTCCAGACCTACTAGAATCAAAGTATGGGAGTTAATAGTGAGGAAGATATTGGCTAAATGCAGGAAAACAAAGCAAAACATCTTCCAACAAGCAAAGCTGCCAAAGATGTCAAAGCTGAAGGAGAGACAAGGAGAGTGTACTAGAAATGTAAAAAAGCAATTTAGGTCACTTTCTCTTCTAAATAAAGAGACAAGGAAATTCCCTACAATCTTTGGATTTTGTGACATTCAGCATTATTGACAAAATCTTGAACTTCATGCCATTGATTCTTTAGACAAAAAAAAAAGTCATCAATAAAATAATGTTATTCCTGTGTTTAAGTGAAAGCATATTATAACAAGACAAACCTTCAAAATTTGGAAATTATTTGTATCATTATTTTTTTTTAATTTTTTATTTCTTTTCAGTGTAACAGTATTCATTGTTTTTGCACCACACCCAGTGCTCCATGCAATCCGTGCCCTCCCTAATACCCACCACCTGGTTCCCCCAACCTCCCACCCCCCACCCTTTCAAAACCCTCAGGTTGTTTTTCAGACTCTGTATCATTATTTTATAAGAGCTTATAAAATGTACTGTCTGTGATATACTTTAACCTATGAAGGTGTCTTAAGAGTTCCCTTAGTCATAAGTTTCCTCCATAAAGTGGTTGTTTTGTATATATCAGAGACATATTTAATTTGAGATGCAACTTTTAGTGGAAGGAGAGATGATGTTTAAAAATTTATTTCTGGGAATTCTTTAGCGAGTCGACCTCACTTCCCGCCGGATCATGGCCACCGACTCGTGGGCCCTTGCAGTGGACGAGCAGGAAGCGGCTGTCAAGTCGATGAGTAATTTGCAAATCAAGGAAGAAAAAGTCAAACAAGATACCAATGGTGTTATTAAAACCAGTGCCACTGCAGAGAAAACAGAAGAAGAAGAGAAAGAGGACAGAGCTGCCCAGTCCTTACTCAACAAGCTGATCCGAAGCAACCTGGTGGATAACACAAACCAGGTGGAAGTCCTGCAGGGGGACCCGAACTCCCCGCTCTACTCTGTGAAGTCCTTTGAGGAGCTTCGGCTAACTTTCAATAAAATATTGGCTGACAGGTGATTTCTGGATGTCAGGAACATTTCTTATTAGGAAACCACAACTTCTCCAGGGAGTCTATGCCATGGGCTTCAATCGACCATCCAAGATACAAGAGAACGCATTACCCATGATGCTTGCTGAGCCCCCGCAGAACCTGATTGCCCAGTCTCAGTCAGGTACTGGTAAAACAGCTGCCTTCGTCCTGGCCATGCTCAGCTGAGTGGAACCAGCTGAGAAATACCCCCAGTGTTTGTGCCTCTCCCCAACATACGAGCTGGCGCTTCAAACGGGAAAAGTGATTGAGCAGATGGGCAAATTTCATCCAGAACTCAAGCTTGCTTATGCTGTTCGAGGCAATAAATTGGAAAGAGGTCAGAAGATCAGTGAGCACATTGTCATTGGCACTCCTGGGACTGTTCTGGACTGGTGCGCCAAGCTCAAGTTCATTGACCCCAAGAAGATCAAGGTGTTTGTTCTGGATGAGGCCGACGTGATGATAGCTACTCAGGGCCACCAAGATCAGAGCATCCGCATCCAGAGGATGCTGCCCAGGAACTGCCAGATGCTGCTTTTCTCTGCCACCTTCGAAGACTCTGTCTGGAAGTTTGCCCAGAAAGTGGTCCCAGACCCAAACATTATCAAGTTGAAGCGTGAGGAGGAGACACTGGACACCATCAAGCAGTATTACGTGCTGTGCAATAACAGAGATGAGAAGCAGCAGAGCTCTCCAAAGAAGGCCACCAGGTGGCGCTGCTGAGTGGCGAAATGATGATGGAGCAGAGGGCTGCGGTGATCGAGCGCTTCCGAGAGGGCAAAGAGAAGGTGCTGGTGACCACCAACGTGTGTGCCCGCGGTATTGACGTCGAACAGGTTTCTGTCGTCATCAACTTTGACCTCCCCGTGGACAAGGACGGGAACCCGGACAACGAGACCTACCTGCACCGGATCAGGCGCACGGGCCGCTTTGGCAAGAGGGGCCTGGCAGTGAACATGGTTGACAGCAAGCACAGCATGAACATCCTCAACAGAATCCAGGAGCATTTTAATAAGAAAATAGAAAGACTGGACACGGATGATTTGGACGAGATTGAGAAAATAGCCAACTGAGACGCTCCACCAGTCACCAGTGCCCACCCCTGGCACTCCGCCTGCATGGGAGACCAGTGCTTTCATGGCACAGGCCTCGACAGTCACCACAAAGACAAAGACAGAGGAGAGAGAAACTACCTACCTCATTTTAAATTACGTTTGGACTCGACAAAAATTGTGCAAATGATGGGGGAAGGTAGAAAGGAAAATTTTGCATTTTGGAAAAAGTAGTCCTCCCCCTGCCCCTCCCCACTTTTAAGCCATGGTTTTTCCCTATCTTTATAATAATCTGGTCGCTATGGATAATCGCGGAGCCTAGGAATCCCTGCTTATTTTGTCGGTGGGGAGATAGGACCCGTCTCCTGCCCCTGCAGAAATGGTAGATGTAGAGTGCGAGAGAAACCTCAGCACAGGTGTGCGGGCCCCGCTGCACGGATGGAGTGTCGGGAGCAGCAACGGAGAGACCGTGAGCTTCCCCCCTTCTCAGTCCCTTCCTGGAGACCTGCTGCCAATGTCTCCTGCCCTTGGGGCCATCTTCCTTCTAAATGCAGTGACGTTTCAGCTGATCCCTTTTACCTCTGTTCCCTGTGCCAGAGGACGTCCATTTCTCTTTGGGTGAGCATCTTGGGTACTTTTGTAAATCTCCCAATTTGGAGAGAAACACAGAAGTCAGTGAATCTTCAGAAGGATTGGTCTGGCAAGGGTAGATGAACCCTTTCAGAATCTAGGCCTTCCTTTTCCTGCTGTTGCTGTGTCTGCTCAGACACTGGTAATCAGTCATGGCACCCAAGAGACACCAGGTGAGTTTCTGACACACACCTGGCCAAGTGAGTCGGGTCTTATCCACGGGGTGTCACACTGTGCCTGGAGGTGAGCAGCAGCGTTTGGAAAGGAAGTTAGGACCAAGTGGAAACTCTGATAGTGCTCTCTATCTGTAATAGTGGACCTGTTGGCTACTTTAACTCAGAGGTCATCTATATGCATAAGGACAGATAAATTCGAGCTATACCCATCATTCATTATGTTCAGAAATTTTAAGGTAATTATGAAAGGCTTTACTAATCATGATTCATTTTTATTTGTATTTTTCTGCTAATTAGACTAATATATGCTCATTAAAAAAGGAAAAAAAATTATTTCTGTCTGGTATATTCTTTTTTTTTTTTCATTTTCATTCTTCTGTACCATGTGTTTGGTGCAGTAGGATAAATCTGGAGTTGTCTTCTGCCTAGAAGTCCCAATCTGCCACCTATTCTTAGCCTAACAGGATCAGGAATGAAATTTAAGGGAAAATAAGTTGGGAATAGGATCCTTGGGTCAGCTGGGCATATGGCTTAGGACTAGTGTGCAATTTCCTATGCATGGCTGAAGGGCAAGATGTGATGTAAGGTGGGAAGTTCTGGATAGTTAAATAATTAAACATTGTATCTATCCCTTTTCCCTTAGGAGCACAATTAACACTCAATACACCTTTTCTCTTTGGTTATGAAAAACACATGCACAAGTGTTCTTTCCCTTGGACCAATGTGGTTGAGGCAAAAGGAATAAGGGTGATGAACAAAGATTGGGATATACTTATTTTTACCTATACTTCCCAATAAAACCGATATGTCCTGAATACTTAATATGATTGCCCTTATGCTGGTTCTGAAATAAATCAGAAATCTTAGAATGCTCTGAAAGCTCAAAGTTCATCAGCCAGTTATACACTCTAGTTTTCGCCCTCAGCTATATTGGATATCTCAGCTGACTTTGAGCAATTTTTACTAAAAATAAAATAGGACAACTTTAGAAAAGTTACTGGAGTTGTACATACTCATGTCTATAAAATAAGTTATTCTTATTATCACCCTTTATGAATAGTTTTGGCTGTTTTTCTTCAAGTATATCAACATTATGATGAAAACAAAACATTCTGCCATTAGGCTTGTATGAGACTCAAATACTAAATAATGTGTCTTTTTTTTTTTAAGGAAACAACTCATCTATTCAGTCTACAGATGTGTTCCGCAAAGGAGGTCAATAAGATCCCCAGGTTGCCAAAGTATTTTTAGGGATGACAGGCTACCTCTGTCTCTCCAGAAAATGTATAACATTTCTCAGTTGTAATGGACTCCCAAACATGTTAATTTTTTTTCTTTTTTTAGATTTACTTTTTTAAGAGAGAGAGAGAGTGTGAGCCTGTGCACATGAGAGCAGTTAGGGGGAAGGCAGAGGGAAAGAAAGTCTTAAGCAAACTCACACTTATGGGGAGCTTGAATGGGGTGGGGGAAGGCCTCTATCTCACAACCCTGAGATCATGACCTGAGCTGAAACCATGAGTCAGATGCTTAACCAACTGTGCTACCCAGGTTGTCCTGCTCCCAAACATGTTAAATTCAAATTTCCAAAAGAGCTTGAAAGAGCTTGACTTAAGTGCAAAGAGGAGGGTTGGGAGGTGGAAGCTACTTTAGTAGCTAAAATCCAAAGGGAGAATTTTTTTGTTGGCCAGTAGACAGATTTCAGAAGACTGTGTAATTAGGATATAAGATATATAGGTATATTTTCTTACATGGTTAGGACACACTCTCAAACAAATGAAAATATTAGAGACATGGTCTAACAAATATATACATATATATTTGTCTTTATTTTATGGGAAATGCCCTAATAGAATGCAGTTCACATGCGTCCTTAACAGTGTTCCATAACCAACCCTGTTTGTTGAGTATATAGGTAATTTTTCATGTTTCCACTTAAATGATTGATAAATTGTTTGTGGAATAGAGGGAGGGTGAACAGACATAGAAGACACACTGCACTGATGCTGTATATGGTTTGTATAGATGTAGAAAGAAAAGAAAATTGAGAGTGCCAAATTCACCAGTAAAGCAAATGAATTTATAGACATTTTAAGGCTGGTTACAGAAGGGGTGATGGAAATAGGATGCTCATAAAATTCTTATCTAAGCATATTATAGGATTTGTTAGAAAAGTACTTTACAAATGAAAGAAATAAAATGATTATTTAAAAAACTGGGCGTTTGAACCATAGCAGAGACAAATAAGCAAAAAACACAACAAATTTTGGTCTGGAAAGCAAATGTATCAAGATCTACAATGTAAATCTTTTCAGAGTCCACAGTCTCTCATGGTTCATCTCCCCCTCCAATTTCCCCCAACTCCCTTCTCCTCTCCACCTCCCCATGTCCTCTGTGTTATTCCTTATGTTCTGAAAAGCAATCTGAGGGTTTTGGAGGGGTGGAGGTGGGAAGTTGGGTGAGCCTGGTGGTGGGTATTATGGAGGGCACATATTGCATGGAGCACTGGGTGTGGTGCATAAACAATGAATTCTGGAACACTGAAAATAAATAAAAATGAAAAAAATGATCTATAATGTAAATCTTATGTAACTTATAAAACCAGTGTTTACTCAGAGATGCTCTACCTTAGCAAATACTTAAACATCAAATCCTTTGACAAGGAAATTCTATTAATAGGTATCCATCCTACAGAAATATTTGCACACACACACAAAAGATGCATGTGTAAAGATGATCATTGCCACATTGACTGTAAGAGCAAAAATGGAGAATGCACTTAAATGTTCATTAACAAAATAAAATGTTTAGATATATTATAGATGCTACTATCTGGATGCTTGTTTTCCCCCATCCCCCAATTCACCTATTGAAATCCTAACCCCCAAGATGATGGTATTAGAAGGTGAAGCCTTTGGGAGATAATTAGATCATGAAACAGAAATCTCATGATTAGAATTAGTACCTTTATACAAGACACCTCGCTGAGCTAACTTGGTCTTTCTACCATGTGAGTATATAGTGAAAATACAGCCATCTATGAACCTGAAGCAGGCTCTCACCAGATAATGAATCTACCAGACATCTTGATCTTGATCTTGATCTTGAACTTTCCAAACTCTGGAATTGTGAGAAATAAATTTATGTTATTTAGAGGCCATCCAGTTTATGGTATTTGGCAATAGCAGCCCAAATGAATTAAGATAATAGACAATTTAGGCCATTCACATTGAGAGTGATTATTGAGAGATATGTTTTTATTGACATCATGTTACCTGCAAAGTCTTTGCTTCTGTAGATTGTTTCCATAAATTTCTGTTCAGTGATATTCTTGGGTTGTTTCCTCTTTTATAGAACCCCCCCCTTAATATTTCTTGTAGTACCGGCTTGGTGGTCACATACTCTTTTAAACCTTGCCTGTCTTATAAGCTCTTTATCTCTCCATCCATTTTAAATGTCAGTCTTGATGGATAAAGTATTTTTGGCTGCACGTTCTTCTCATTTAGTGCCTTGAATACATCTTGTCAGCCCTTTTTGGCCTGCCAGGTTTCTGTGGACAGGTCTGACATTACTCTGATGGGCTTTCCTATGTACATAAGGAATTTCTTCCGTATGTACAGAGGAAAGCCCATCAGAATAACATCAGACATATCTCTCAATAATCATTCTCAATGTGAATGGCCTAAATGTGCCCATAATGGCACAGGGTTGAAGACTGGATAAAATGACAGGACCCATACATATGTTGTCTACAAGAAACCCATTTTGAACCTAAGAATACATCCAGACTGAAAGTGAAGGGATAGAGAAGCATCTTTCATGACAATGGACCTCAAAAGAAGGCTGGGGTAGCAATTCTCATATCAGATAAATTAGATTTTAAACTAAAGACTGTAGTCAGAGATACAGAAGGACACTACATCATTCTTAAAGGGTTTATCCACTAAGAAGATCAAACAATTATAAATATGTATACCCCCAATATAGGAGCAGCCAATTACATAAGAAAACAGTTAAGCAAGATAAAGGGTCATATTGATATGAATACATTAATAGTGGGAGATCTTAACACACCACTCTCAGTAATAGATCATACAAGCAGAAAAAAAACAATAAAGAAACAAGAGCATTGAATGACACATTGGACCAGATGGACCTCATAGATATATACAGCACATTGCACCCTCAAACAACAGAATACTCATTCTTCTACAGTGCACATGGCACCTTCTCTAGAATAGACCACATACTGGGTCACAAAGCAGGACTCAACCAACACCAAAAGACTGAGATTATTCCCTGCATATTCTCAGATCACAGTGCTTTGAAACTGGAGCTCAACCACAAGAGAAAGTTTGGAAGGAATTCAAACACCTGGAAGCTAAAGAACACCTTGCTTAAGAATGCTTGGATCAACCAGAAAATCAAAGAAGAACTTAAACAATTCATGGAAACCAATGAGAATGAAGACACTTTGGTCCAAAACCTATGAGATACAGCAAAGGCAG